TAACATCTGTTCGTGCGTCGTTACGTTCCCACTTGACAGATGGATCATAGTACATTTCATCTCCTGTAGTATTTCGGGTTGCAATCGGATGTCAATGTAGCCAGGTTAAGTGTCTCTGTACTGCGCACTAAGATTGCGACGAGTCATCAATTTCGATTCACGGACAGCGGCAACACGATGTGACATCCGAATGGAAATGCTTAAATCATGTATTCAAAGATAAATCGCTCCGGAATATCTGTGGAAAGTGAACAGTGCCGGCAAGTAAATGACTAGCGATTAACATACTGATGTTGATGTGTCATGTTAGGTTTCACATTAAATCTGTTAGAATGATTAGAGCTGTAATTCCCGTCCTTCATCCGACAACCTTATCTTAGCTGAGCTTATGAAAATCAGTTGACTCCAGCGTACCATTTCCCTACAAACCTGCATAGTTGCCTACTCACAAACTGTCATCTTCTTTGTGTGTCATCCTTATTCCAGTGCTAATGTAAGTATAGCTTGGGTACAATTGCTATCTGGAATGAGGAAGTACGGACTTGGTGCAACGCAGTAGCATTATTGCACCTGTCTAAGAGGCACCTACTAGAAGTTGTATTAGACGGGCTCAATCTTCTGGGTAGACTAAGAAAAAGGTAATGCCAACGGAAATGGTACGTAAGTGTCTTAGTAAATTACATCGGAAAGGAATCGGCGCATAGGGAAAATCTGTTCACTTTACGAGCACCGAATAGCTGCACCCCACGTGTACTAATGTAGATCGTAAGCAAATAGTTTCTAGCACAACAGGATACACAACAGTATGTACAAACGGATGGGTACTTGGATGACAACCATGCTACGTCTTGGGCATTTGCAAAACAGTGCGAACACTGTTTGGAAAACCGCAAGTTTGACAGTGGCCAGCGGGACTTGTTGATGTAGTACTGTGGTAGTTGTCGTGTCATACAGGCCGTAAGAGGCGAACACCAACTGTTCTTATTGGGTACTTAGTCGCATGCTTGTGCAAGTAACAGTTAGCCTGACCTCCAAACCAAACCCACATACGTTTGTAGTATTATTGTTCATGAGGACTAAGGTGTCTCTATCCAGTTTGTGACAGTTCAAAATGAAGCACGTGGAAACACATGTGCATAGGTTGTATTCGAACTGCCATTGGACACGGATGACGCCAATCTATGTTTATATATATACCGAATGAATTCGACGAGGATATTCATACCATTTTTGTACGGTTAACTTAGTACAGTAAAACGAAATTCGAACAAACCGAAAATAACATTACCAGAACAAGAAGAAGGTGAGTTTATGATAAACTCCTGTTGATTTCAGGTGTTGCGAATCCAAGGTAAAATTTGATCGATGCGAAATCCGTGGACTGCTCAAAAAAGCGGTTTCGCAGGTGCCGGAGAAGGCACTATTGCACGCGGAATAGAAGCACCATGAGTATGTTCCCATTCGATTTACTAATCCAGGCCAATAAGGCGGCGTATGTGAAACGTTTGCCTGCGTGTTGAGTAATCTTACATTTCAGAAGTAGATGTTGCTTGAGCTCCCCGGTGTGGGTGCGCTTGATGTGCACGTTTACAAGGTGCCTATCTGTCTATTACCCACTACCTCGTCCATAGTGGTTCCAGGAGACAGTTGGTCGTTGCTGGTGGGGACGGGGTGCACCGTCCTCCTGACGGTGCTAGGCTTAAAGAGTGGTTCCATTCTGTGCGGAACGGGCTACGGTCCAGCCACCGCCTCGTGTACGTCTGGTGTGTATGATTTCCCAATTAGGCCGGAATGCTTCTGTTCTGCTTGTTGAAGGAGTGTGGGCCGGCTCCGTTGATGAAACGTGGCTCCCATTCACATGCCTCCCGGTCTTATTCCTTCGGGTTTACACCGGATATGGGGTGTGTGGGTGGGACTATGGGTGGTGCAGCGCAAGCCAACCATGGTCCCCTTTGTAGGCGCAGGCGTCCTGTGACTGTCCCATGGAAGTCACAGTGACAGGCAAATCCGGATACGGATGCCGGCAAATCATATAGAGGCCCTATTGGTGGGGGCGGATGTTTTCCTAAAATAGGGTCACCTAGCAAGCGGTAAGAATATTCCGTAGGGAGAAGCGGAGGATAGGCTAGAAACTGATACTGTCATTGGGAGGTAGTGTATGTATGAGGACGTATGCCCTCATACTTATCCTCAAGTATGTCATCAGTTAATTCGTTATTCCGGTTGGGATGTTGCCATCTCCGGTTCGAAGAGGTAGGCACCAAAACATTTGGGGTGGTTGGTAGTAGGTCGTGTGGTTGGTTATTATTGACCTCACAATCGGTTCCAACAGCATATCTTGCGGTGCGACAGCGTACTATTTGCTTCATTTGATTTAATTAGTGGTTCTTATATTCGGATGGAGGTGCTATGGTTAGGAAGAGCAACACCGAAACAACTCTGATGGAGGTTGTTTAGGTGTTATCGGTTGTTAGGAGTATTGTAGGGATACGGCGCTCTGCAATGTCAACTAGGCCTAGTTGGGACGTGGGATAGTTTCTGTGAAATTCACTAAGTGATAATTCAAGCAAATTTGCAATATTCTTAGCCTCACCCTTTGCAATTGAGCTCTGAGTTGATACCGCATTATTCATGGGGTCGTTGCCTGCAGAAAAGGCACATGATATGGTAGCAACTTCTGAGGAATTTTTAATAGTACTTACATCTGGCCAGGCCGTGCAATAGCACCTCATGGGTGGGTTGGTGGACTGGGGGCTTGTGAGTGTCATTAGATAGGAGCGGTGTTAGTGGTCTGTCGGTGGCGTCGGTGCGAGAAATACGAGCGTCTGAATGATACGTCAAAACCGCCAATGTAGTGGCGCTTCGTCGGTCCAGATCAAAAATATTTATATAGTCAGTTCGTGTTGCAATGAGCCGTTTGCTGCGTATAAGACGTTCTGTCATTGCTTCATCCGGGAATTTAAGGAGGAGGGCATGACCTAATTGTCGGCTTCTTCTGAAGTCTGAGACACAGACAGAGAGCAAATGCTATTGCATGCGGCGATAGAACAGTTTGGACTTCACCTATGCTCAATCGGTCAGCTGTATTAAACACAAGCACGTGCTTTGTTCTGCGTCAACGTTCCTGGATCTCAGTTGTGATTAGGGATAAAAATAGATCCAGCCTTGTGTAGTGTGTCTAGGTTCACATCCTTTGAAGTAAAGTAAGTAATCTCAGCAGTCTAGCAACTAGACAAAGAGCCAAAACAAAACCATGGAGATCAGCGGATAAGGGAAAATCATCTCATCATAATCATCGTGGCATGGTAGTTGAAGGTGAGCAACACACTTCAGCTAATATGCCGCAGGAAGAATGGAACAGTTTGATAAAAAGCAGAACAAAACATTTTTAGTTTGTTTTTCACACGCCGCTTTTGTTCTTATTTTGTCATTTTAATGTTTGTAGAATTAAACATGTGAATCAATACAATAATGTACACAATTCTTCCACTGATTCTGGTTGCGGGCCATTTCTTCAAGAGTGTTAAGCCATTGGCACTCCTCATCTTTGGGTCCCCATCCTGGAAGACGTACGGATCCAACAGCGGCTAGGCACGACATCAGCGGTTTCATGTGCTGCTGCCATGTAGAAGGCTGACCACTACGCGGTCGCCTCCAACCAGGTCCTTGACGAGTGAATAGACCGCGACGAGGTATACGTTTGGGTGCCATGCGTAGGACTTGACCTAGCCATTTCAACTGGTGCAACAAAACCATTTTATTGAAGGGAATAATCGCATTCCCCAAGATTTGATGTCGAACGTCATTACTATTAACTCAATCTTGCCACCAAGCACGAGAAATCTTTCTTAAGCAACCGTTATCGAAGGCAGAAAGACGACGCATTTCTTCCACGCGAATCGGTCAGGACTAGCTCCCATACAACAACACTGAGCGAACTGATGCGCTGTAAACGCGGCCCTTTAGTGAGAATGAGACGTCGCGACGACGCCACAAGTGCCTGAGATTGACAAATGATGATCGAGCTTTAGCGATACGAAGAGAAACTTCATTGTTGATAATGCCGTCAGCAGAAACACAGCTTCCAAGGTAGACAAAACTATCTATCTGTTCAAGTTGTGCACTTTCGAGAGTGAACACGGGAGCAGGTGAAAGCCAATCCTTGAGCCGTACTTTATATTTCGATGGGGCGAAGCTCATGCCATCCTTAGATGCTTCAACCGCCAAACGATTCAGAATGAGTTGTATACCCTGAGGATCGTCACCAATTAAGGCGATATCATCAGTATAATCTGTCGGTCGTGTGCCCACCCGGTAGAAGCTCTAGGCCAAAATGTTGGAAACCTTCTAGAGCATTCGACAAAACGTCTTCGATTGCGAAGTTGAAGAGGAAAGGTGGCATAGGGCAGCCCTGTCGCACACAGCTATTGACAACGAATGAAGAGGAAAGCTTGCCATAGACCCTCACTCTGCCGCATGTATGAAGGTAAAGTGCTCGTAAGGTGGCGATATATTTTTCTGGCACCCCGTTCTTCAGTAAGCAATGCCATAAATCGGGTCGAGCAAAGAAGTCAAAAGCGGCATGTATGTCTAGAAATGCAACGATAGTGGGCCTGTGATAAATGTGGCGATGTTCGAGGAGCTGGCGGAGTGTGAAGATTTGATCCATGCATTCGCGGTTAGGACGGAAACCAGCTTGTTCTTCACGATAGTATGATTTACGTACTGAGGATAGTCTACGAAGCAGAATGGATGCCAACAGATTAGATGCAACCGAAATAAGACTAATCCCAGGACGATTTGCACATGAAGTGCAAGCGCCTTTCTTGAAAATCGCCTCAAGAGGAAGGCACTTTCTCTTCATGCCAGATTTTTGCGGACAGCGCTGATAGCTGGTTAATGATGGCCTCACTGCCGCATTTGAACAGTTCCGGAGGAAGTCCGTCTAAGCCGGCAGCCTTGAACCGCCTCGAGCGTCGAACCTTGAGACAGACTTCCGCTTAGCTGGGTGGATTTAGTGGGACGAGCCAGCTTGGACAACAAGGTGTACTGCATGTACTGATGGATGGTAGAGGCCAGTTGAACTGCGAGTGAAAGTGCTCGACGCAGCGGTCCATACGCCCCTGTTGATTGGTGATCGGAGACTCATCCACCTCGCAAATGACCTCACTGACACCACGCTTCCTGAGGCCAGTGGACCGAGTGAGTTGGAAATGTCTGCAAGTGTTTCCAGAGAGGGCAGCGGTCCCCATCTCTAAAGCACGCTCAGACCACCGTGCCTCGCGATCCTTGCGTAGGTTTTCCTTAAGCATCCGGTTGGTAGAACAGCGCCGCTCGTTGCAATCTGATTCCGCGGGGATATCTATGCGGTGTTCGAACAGCTCCAGAGAACGAGCAGGGATCCAAGCCATTAGGGGGTGTCGCGTTAGGCCGCAGCATGACTGTCCGGAAATGGACATCGCTTCCCGTAGACAAGTCCAGTGTTGCTCCACATTTTGCGGTGGATGGCAACTGAGTGCATATGCCAGTGAAGACTGATGGCTCGCCTAGACAGAGGAATCAGTTAAGCTGTTTACATCAATTCTGCGGGGCTTCGTGTTTCGAGACCCCCCAAACAAATACAGATTTTCGCGTGGACCAGAGCATGATCTGAGTCAACCAAGATAGACCAAAAGGACCTGCAGTCCAGTACGCTGCCGCCGCCATCTGAAGCTAATTTCAATGTGATCAATTTGAGACCACGGATGTGTTGGCGAAGGGGGACGCCACGTTGCGCAACGCTTCTTCGTACGCCTGAAGTTAGTGCTCGAGAGAAACAGGCGGTTGTCTTCGCACAATGTGAGAAACCTCTCTCCGTTATCAGAACGATTCTCATCGAGCGCGTGATGACCACCAAGGTGGCGTTCGTATGGGAAAATGTGGCAAACCCGTGCATTAAAATCCCCAGCAAGAATAACGACATCCGACTATTTAGCATTAGTCAAGAGCTGATGTAGATCCCGGTAGAATTCGTCACTAAACGAGTCGCAACCGCAGTCAGTTGGAGCGTACACGGAGATCACAAACAAGCTGCGTCTCTGAAAATATTTTGGTGTTGCTCATCCTAACACTGGCACCCCGCGACCGAGATTTCGTCCTGGTTTGGACTCATCAGGTGGAGGTAGCCTGAGGTGGGGTGGAAATCAGAGCATAGTGGTTCACGGCTGACACCATAAACACTGCCATTGAGATCCGTGAGCAACGCTGGGTACAGCGGCAACGAATGCAAAGTTGGACATGGAGAATTCGCTGTGTGGTTGGGTTGCTACGAGCAACCTCTAATGAGACCTCGGTTCACATGAGGTGGAAATCGGTTATTCCGATTACAATGACCGAATGTGTTTTGACCGTAAAATGTTGGGATGAGCAACACCAAAATATTTCCATTGCACATCCGGTCCTTGTGATCGGAATGACCGAGGTCCAACTCAAGTAAACCGAGGTCTCAATAGGGGTTGCTCGTAGCAACCCAACCACACACTGGATTCTCCAATTCCAACTTCGAATTAAAGTCTCTCTTCGCGGTGTTTGTTGATTCTACATGAACGCCGAAGCCGAACTGCACATAGTCGGCTGTTAATCGGGAACCAGTCCAGTGCTGCTGCCTCGGCCTTGCCACTTAGTACTATGCCTACACCAGCCAAACCCGCTGAAGTTGCTTCTGGATCTCCAGAAAGACGCAGGTGATATCTGGCTTCGTAGTCACTGGGGGATGTCAAAGTAAGCGCAGTGCTGGGACCTTGCAATCAAGATTCTGAAAGGCAGCAGATATTAATATCGAAGGAGACTAGACCGCCTTGCGGTCCAATCTGTATGAGTGTCCGAACGTTAAAGCACGCCAGATGGAACGAGGATCGGGGACGAAAACGAGCCATAGGTGAAACTCCTTGGTCCGCGGCGCAACTGGAATCGCAGCCAGATTGTTGAACACATGAATTGGGTAACGGGAAGTGAGGATTGTTAGCAAATAAACAATTGACGTGTGATGAAGTCGCGTGAATGTGAGAAGCAGGAACAGTAGCTGATGAGCACGTTGTAGTACAGTCCATGGTTTTGTGACAGGGCGTGATACTACCCGGTTGCCCAAGCCGAAGTAGGGAGTTGACTTAGGGGACTCAACCCCGACCATTGGTTAAATAACCAGCCCGCTAGGCAACAGGGCGAATTTGGGGAATCGCGCCCATTGGGAGGCACTGACTGAATGTTCAGTTCATGTGTCTTTGTTTGGTAGATCACCAAACAGGGGCCCAATACTCCCCATGGAATCAGCACAATTGCTGGAATACAATGCCCCACCATAGTGGAACATTGTCGCCGAACACTTAACTGGAACGCGGTACACCCGAACCACCCAGCTGGCACTCCGAGGAGGTAGTTTGGCACGCCAACCTTTGAACCTTTAAGAAATTCGCCGAAAGCCAAGACGATCGCATTTGGGACCAAAGCGCAGCAGTTCAGTTTCCAGTGATGTAACTTCTTCCTCAAGAACAACGATGCAGCCTTGCATTTCAGGTACTAAATCAACTCTATGTCAGAGCAGACAGCCAATACTTCTTGTTTTGGCGATTAGAATCAACCAAGTGTGCCAACACGGCGCTCATCACAGTTTTTCTCCCACCATTGCGCAGATTAGCTGGACAATGCTCACGTATTCTCTCAGACAGTCTCCTAGTAGTTCTTCCGATGTATCTTGCTCGACATGAACAAGAGAAGGAATAGACACAGTAAGAAGCAAACGACCAAGGAAGTCTGTCTTTGAGTTGAGGCCTCACGATTGGTGTTAAAATTTAGCTGCAAGCTCGCTGCGTAGTAGGTATGGCGCATAGCGTCGGATAATCTTCTCGATGTTGCCTACGCTATACCATCCGCCTTGAATGGCAACGACAAATAAACCGGTTTCTTTTCCACCGAAGCTGGTTTAGCTCTCATTTATCTGCACTCCATATATTTCCGAACAAATTTTTCTGGATAGCCATTTCTCTCGAAAACGCCACTTAAGAAACTGAGCTCGTCCGCAAGTGTGTCCTCACTACAAATCCTTCTGGACTTTTCGGTTAGACATATAATCACGTTGCGCTTCTGATTTATTGGGACAAAACTGGCAAAATGTATATATTGTCCGTTCCACGTTGCTTTTCCATGTACCCTCCGTTGGCCCGATCCATCTGGTCTTCTACTTAGCTGAACGTCTAGGAAGGACATCGTGTCATTGCCTTCAGTTTCTAGGGTGAACTTGGCATTAGGATGCGCTGAGTTAAACTGGGATAAAATTGTCACTGGGCAGCAGTGCCTGTCTGTCACGCAAAATATGTCATCCACATATCGTCCGTAATATGGTAGACTGGTAATGACTCCGCTCAGATAAGTATTCTCTAATTTGCTCATGAACCCATCAGCTAGTAGCGGTTCAAACGGTGAACCCATTGCTACCCCATCTTTTTGTCTGTATATGGCCCCGTTAAACTGAAACTGGATGTTACTAGTACACAGCAGGAGTAGCTGTTTCACTCGATCACTTGAAAAGCCGATACTCAATTGGTGGTCTCGAACGGTGTCACATATAGAGCCTATTGTCTCTTCTAACGGAATATTGGTGAAGAGCGACACCACATCCAACGAAAACATCTTTCTTCCGGTTAGCTGAAGCCGCCTTATGGAGTCTAAGAAACTGAATGTGTCTCGTAGGTTGTACCTGGAGATGATATTTCTCACCGGCTCTAAAAGCTTAGCTAACCACTTGGCTGTTGCGTGATACGGTGAATTGCACATGTCTAGTATGGGCCTTAGTGGAAGTCCTTCCTTATGCACCTTCGGTAAGACGTAGAGTCTCGGGATCACCGTTCCTGTGGGACGAATGTATTCGAACGTGGCGGTGTCAATCATGTTTTCCTGTTTCAAGCGCCGTAGAAGCTTAGTAACTGTCTTTTCTTTCCAAACCATTTACCATGTACCTGGAAGCCTTTCACGAGCGGTAAAATGTCGCTTTTGGTATTATCGTCGTCTTAGCTGAGGCACTTCTCGTTTTAGTGGCCTTGTCGCCGCAGACTGCCATTGATTCCCGCTTATTCTTCGTCCTATCTATGACATTTCGCAGGCATTTTAGTGCTACTCCAAACAGTTAGAACTGGTTGCAAATCAAGTCATATCGTCGACAAGTGTATGCAGTATAGAACTGAAAACCCAGAAATATCTTAAGGTCCACGACCAAGCGACTTTGGCGAACACCCATTTTTACTTATTCAATGAGAGCATACTCCTGTTCAGTGCGACTTCCTCAGTAAAACGCAGAACATGGGTATTAGTAGGCCTCAACAAGGTGTTGAACGAGGATATTGGATCAAACGAGTATATGTCAACCCAGGGATGACGCGAGCTGCTTTCGTTGGTAGAGGACATGATGAGGTAGGGTTTTGTTGCCCTGGTATCCGAGCAGCGAAATTCAACATACAGTTGGCACTGCCCACGCAGTTCGTTCAGCATAAAGGTGCACACGAGGTGAGATGGTACAGTTTCACCTTAGTTTGCAAGACAAGTAGTCTACGGGTCAATTAAGGGTTTAAGTTATAGCTTTATTGCAAACATCCGGACATAAATCATGTGAGGAGCTGTTCTCACTGAGTTGTCACTAAATGAAAACTCCATGAAATCTCAAACCGGGCAACGTTGAATGTCCTCGCACAAAATACTACCTCTTGACGGCGTTCCGTGACAAACATTCTTGACTATATAGTTTTCATGAGTACATTGATTGTTATTCGTTCAGACAATAATTAGTGTACCTTTGCTTGCACGATCAAGCAAAATTATTTGACGTATCCCTTCGGGGAGTAGCATTACGGTTACTGCCTTGATCAAGCCGGTTTTTGGTGAACCGATCACGTGGGGTATCAATCCTTCTCAAGGTGCATCCATGAAACCAAACAGGAAAGAGTGTTGTTCCTTCAACTCCACTAGTTTCACTCAGTGTGTCGTTAAGGCGAGAAACTAAGTCCGCAATCAGTTTTCCAGATGAAGAGAAGAAAAGACATCCAGGCTACTGCAAATAGCGACGCCTGATCGTACTGTCGCTGCTGTTTTCAAGGTTCTTTTTCGGATATCTTGGTGCATTGGATTTATAGCGAATTTTCTAAACGGTTGGTTTCTATCGGTTAACTGCTTTTTGAACAATTTTACAAGTCTATAGGCATAGGCTTAGTGTATTCATACCACACTTCAACCCTGGTACTCCACTTTCCCTTTCTCCCTTATTTCGCCGCACTTATTCCTTCCCAGCTGCCCAACCCATTAGGGCTTCACCAATTTCCCTCTTGCTTACGTTTGCCATATCGACTCCATTTGCTTATCGATTACATTTATCTCACACTCTATCAAT